CTGGTGGTGCAGTTTGAGCTGGAGAAACGAGCAACGATTGGAAACATCTCACAGTGTTCGCCGGCTTTAGACAGGAGACCAAAGCTGCGTTGTGATTGGCTGTGTCTCCTTCAATGTCCCTTGATGGGGACCCCATCAAGGGACCCCCCCGACCCGTCTGACGCCCCTCTCTCTCCCACAGGCTCCACGGCGCCGTGCAGTCCAAGCAAAAGGACAAACAGACCATCGCCCAGCTGGAGAAGCGGCTGAAGGCGGAGCAGGAGGCCCGCGCCCTGGCCGAGAAGCAGCTGGCCGAGGAGAGGAAGAGGAAGAAGATGGAGGAGGCCACGGCCGCCAGGGCCGTAGCTTTAGCCGCCGCCACAAGGTAGCAACGCTCGCCACCTTAGACTTAGACTTCCTTTATTGTCATTGCACAAAAAACACGAGGTGAATCTTGACAACGAAATGTCGTTACTTGGCTACCAGTGTAACGGAGCTAAGAGCTTATTCCTGCACAATAAATAAGTTTTCTATAACTAAGAGCTAAGAGCTAGCTATATACAGGGTAAAGAAGTACAGTGGGGGAAATAAGTATTTGACCCCTTGCTGATTTTGCAGGTTTGCCCACTTACAAAGAATGCTTATTTTTCCTCATCAGATGGTTATTAGTTTTTATAAATTCATACGATGTGATTTTCCGGAATTTTCCTTGGGATTCTGTCTTTCACTGTTAGAATGTACATATGATTAAAGTTATAGATCGTTGCATTCTTTGTAAGTGGGCAAACCTGCAAAATCAGCAAGGGGTCAAATACTTATTTCCCCCACTGTATATAGATACATATATATTGCACTGAGTTATTGCAAAAAGAAAACATTAAGTTGAAGACAAAACTTAACTAAGGTGCGTGTATTGTCCATGTCCATGGGGGGTGGTTATAGTGTGTGTGTGGGGGGGGTGGAGGAGTGTTATGCCGCTCACTGTTGGACCGGCTGTTTGGGGTTTAAAAAAACTAGCTTTAAAAAAACAGCTGTTTTATTTTGGAGTTTTTTTTGTCTTTCTCTGTGTTGTGCCTCAGAGTGGAGTCCACCGATTCTCTCCGCGGCCGCATCAGGGAGCTGGAGACGGAGTGCAAAAAGCTGAGCCTGGACACGAAGCTGAAGGAGGAGCAGCTCAGAGAGCTGGAGGGAAAATGCCAGGTGAGACCGGGCGATGGTCCACGTTTGTAAACCTTAATTTATGGAAAATATGCATTTCTAATGGAACCCCACGATGTATTGTTTTCAGACTCTATGAAAATAACAGGACAGCTAGTTTGTGTCTTTTTATTTTATTTTTATTGATTTATTCATTTAAAAAATAATAATTTCACCCCCTGACGTGTTTAGCATTATGGCAACAGAATTGTAATCTGAGTGCTCTGTCAGGCCTGTCAGGGTGAGAAGCCTCCCTAGATCATCCAACACTGCTTTATTATTTATTTAAGATTTATTATTGTTACAGAAGTAAGATGGTTAATGCCAAACCTGGGGAACAGGAAAAGATGAAAAAAAAGAGAGGGAAAAAAAGGAACAAAAGATTAAATTTAGAAAAGGATGAGAGAATGGAGAAAAGGTAACAATAACCTACGCCGAAAAGAGGAGAGATCCCTAAAACAGGAAGAGAGGGGGAAAAAAAGGAAAACAACAAAACCATCCATGTATTTGTGGAAAGATGTCCTGTAAAATGACAGTTTGGTCATTTTAAATAAATCATCCGGTTTACCATCTATGCTTTTCAGGAAAAGCTGTACGTAAAGTGAGTCAAATATGTTCATTGTGAGCGTCGTTGATCTTCCTTTTCTGCTCGATTCCACGAAGGAGCTGCGCAAGTACAAGGAGAACGAGAAAGACACGGAGGTGCTGATGTCGGCGCTGTCGGCCATGCAGGAGAAGACGCAGCACCTGGAGAACAGCCTCAGCGCCGAGACCCGCATCAAGCTGGACCTGTTCTCCGCCCTGGGAGACGCCAAGAGGCAGCTGGAGATCGCACAAGGTAACCGGACGGTCCAGGAGACGGGAGAATGTACTGTTAACTACAGTGGGGGAAATAAGTATTTGACCCCTTGCTGGGCGGCACGGTGGTGTGGTGGTTAGCACTGTCGCCTCCCAGCAAGAGGGTTCTGGGTTCGAATCCCAGGGGAACCAGGACCTTTCTGGGTGGAGTTTGCATGTTCTCCCTGTGTCTGCGTGGGTTCTCTCCGGGTTCTCCAGCTTCCTCCCACAGTCCAAAAACCTGCATGTTACCACAGTCCAAAAACCTGCATGTTAGGCTGATTGGAGATTGGAGAAATTGCCCTTAGGAGTGAATGTGAGTGTGAGTGGTTGTTGGTCCTTGTGTGTCTCTGTGTGTCTCTGTGATGGACTGGCGGACTGTCCAGGGTGACCCCGCCTCTCGCCCGTTGACCACTGGGATAGGCTCCAGTTCCCCCCGCGACCCCATCAGGGAATAAGCGGTATTGATAATGGATGGATGGATGGATGGATGGACCCCTTGCTGATTTTGCAGGTTTGCCCACTTACAAAGAATGCAACGATCTATAACTTTAATCATATGTACATTCTAACAGTGAAAGACAGAATCCCAAAGAAAATTCCAGAAAATCACATCATATGAGTTTATAAAAATTGATAACCATCTGATGAGGAAAAATAAGCATTCTTTGTAAGTGGGCAAACCTGCAAAATCAGCAAGGGGTCAAATACTTATTTCCTCCACTGTAGATGTTATTAGCATTTGCCTGTCAGTTTGAAGACATCAGCCTCGGCTTCCTTTCTGAAAGCTGCTAGTTGTAGGAACAGGCTCCAATCCACTGATCCAGTTTAAAAGCTCCACAGATTCCAGAGAGATCAACACTCAACTCATTTTTTGTTT